AATATTTGTAATTTTCAGTAAAAGAATTTTAAAAATTGAGAAAATAAAGAATTTTGTAAAAAAAAAGATTAATCATTGTTTTTACTATTAACGAATTTTGTCGACAAAGTGTATATGTCGGGAAAAGAATTTTTCGACAAAGTGACTGTCGGCAAAGTGTATATGTCGGCAAAACAATTTTTCGGCAAAGTGGTGTCGGCAAAGTAACTGTCGGCAAAGTGATACGGACCCGTAGAGGCTTGTATGAGTGTTTGCCTCTTTCTATGTTAAATTGGAGATAAACTCATATCGAATTCTCTTGACTAACTTAAGTGCGAAGCAAGTAAAGTGACCCGAATAAAAGTATACTTTAATAGTGAAAATTGGCTTGCTGAAGAGCATTCTATCATAGGAAAAACGTTTAGTAATTTTCTACGTCAATACGTTCAAACAATCAATGTCGTAAAAGCTATAGCAAAGCCTTAATTGTAGTCATTAAGGGGATTCAAACATAGAGAGCTGTGTAGTGGTCAAACGCGCTGTTTCTGTCGACAAAATGCTGAGGTCTCAAAGATTTAGCGAAAAATTTTAATGGTAATATCGAATATTTTTCATATTGTTTCTTGTAGAAGCTCAACATGGAAAAATATGGTGGAAAAATGCACTAATGAAACATGTAAACGCGATTTCAAAATGAATGTTAGTCAGGTGAATCTAGGGATGATTTAAATTGTTCATAACTCTGATTGGGGAACGAATATCTCTATGATGGGAAATCGGAAAGAAAACAGTTTAGTATGAAATCTTTCGGCTACAGTTCACTTCAGAGATTTACTACGAAGCTCTTTCTTCTGAGAAATCTGAAGGAGTTTTTAAATGAAAGCTTTAGGATTACGAAAATTTTAACGAAGTTACATACTTTTTGTAGTATACTCTAAAGATGTAGTAAAGTTCCTCAAAACTCGTAAGGAACCTACCGGATTTACTTGACATCTGTTGTTTTTAAGAATAGTTTAAGCGACTTGCGCTAGAAGCACGTTTTAAAAGGAATTCAGCATAAAAATAGAGTCCAAGATAGAACTACAATAAACATTTGAAACCATTTGTTTTACTTGGAATGGCTCTTTAAAATATCTAGAACCTTTGATGGCTTAGTAGTCGAGAAATTGAACCTTAAATAGCTCATTAGATTGACTGAAACCTTCGATTGCTCCGTAGGACATCTTTTTCTAAGAGTATAGGCTTCCAAGAAAATTGGACGAGCACTTCTAGAGAATTGAGGTAGAATGAAGTCAAGAATGAAGACTGCTTGGTTTTTCCTTCTTGTGCGATATATAAGTCACATGATATGGATCCTAGCAGACCAGTTAGAGAATTACATGAGAGTGAATAGCACGATAGACTATTCCTTGATTTTTGGGGTTCGGTTTCACATACTACTTCAACAGTATCCGCTTGCGAGTAAGACTTGAATGATCGACTCAAAGTCTCTTTCGAAGATGCAGGCTGTGAAGAAACACTGATGCTAAGCCTACACAAAAAAAGTATTACAATATTAAAACAATGTAAATGAACTAGTGCTACGAGTCGAAATCATCTCCTTGTGTGCTGAATGTTCACTTGACACTAGTGATTCTGCCACGACCCTAATGGCTCAATGCAGCTACCCACAACAGGAGAAATGTGCTTCTTGGATTGTTATCTCAATTCTTCGAAAGATAAGTTCAGTTCCTAGTTTTGAAGTACTTAGAAAGACCTATGCGTTTTAGATTCAAACTAAAAAAAATCGTTCTCTTTTGAAGTTTTACAGGAGATATTGATAACACAGTCAAAAAACAATTGCTATTTCAATTACGAAAGAAGTTTGCATTCGCCCCAGGATCTATCCAACGAAGATCGTTTTAGTCTAGGTTTCTCATAGGGAACTTAGTTCGCCGTGATCGTTTTAAGTTATTCCGTTTTAGCAATTCATACTTGTATTTTGAAATACGTTCGATTTCGTCGAACACAACCGTTAGAAGAAACAAAATTATCAGAATTGATGGAAATGATCAACGAGTATTTATCGCTGAACAATAGGAAGGATGATGAAAAGGAGAAAAGCGTAATGGCGCGTACGTGTCCAGCTCATTATGAACAGCTACCGTCAGCAACAACACCAACATCAAGCGTCATGAAGAAGGACTCGAACTTGGAACTAGAATACACACTCATACAGTTTGTACAAGTTTATTTGAATAGTTGAAAATCTTACTAGAGAGAAGGGACATTGACACTATTATCACAGTGATGATCTATTCGAAGCGTTTTGATACGTTAAATAATGTAAGATTACTAAGCAGTTATTACTCGGTTTGAAGCGTAAACAAAGCTGAAGGAAATCATACCCTCAAAACCTCCCTCATTAAGAGTTTCCTTCGAGCATATGCTGTGAAATTCATGTAAGAGTATCTTCTTGTTTAGCTTTTTTCTGATCTCGCTAAAATAACACAAATACATTTTCTCATGATTTTTGGATGAGTCACAAACCAAAGGATTGCGTCTCTTGTCTCTGTCCCGTTGAAAATCCTTATTTTTCTTCCGACCAGTGAGTTTTGAGTTTTTTTCTTACAGGGATGAATGGCCCAACTTTCCTAGTTTCGACTGCACAACGATTTCCAGCTTTTATGGTATCTTTTTGAGAATGGCTCAGCGAGTATGTACGTGGGTGTGAATGTGAGTGAAAATAAGGTCCATACCCATATTCTTATCATCAGTCAATGACAGCTCAATATTTTGGGCTGATATTTTGACTATGAAATATTGGGGTCTGAGTAGGCATGAACCAAACCCAAACCTAAACCCAAACCCAAACTGTTTGGGTTTGGTGCATGCCTAGGTCTGAGCATGCATTTCACAAACTTTCAGCCTGGTCGTTTGTTCTGAAACAAAAGTAGAGATTTTGGCATTGGCTGGGAATACAGTTTAAGGAGAACTGAATACTAAATGTAAACAACGTTCAAAGTGATCCATACACAACTTTGAACACAATGCAAGCCCTCCGTGAAGAAATTCATCGAAAACAAAAGTTTCTGAGTAGTAATGAAAGATTCTTAAAAACTAATCAGTTTTAAACTACGATATGAGATCCCATTGTATTACTGTGATCACTTCTTTCATTATAATGCCACAAAAGTCTCCACGAGTTTTACATTGTAGGCCAACAACAACCACGGCATCAGCAATAAATCTTTTTGAAAAGCCAATCAGAGCATGGAAATCTGACGATCTTGCGCATTGGTTTCAACAAAATAGAATCTTACCTAAATTATGTACTCTCTACGACTTCGATGAAGGTTCTGAATTACTTAATTATTATAATAATATCTCAACTGATGAAAAATCAAATATACAATATCAAATCTATTCTCAAGCATATTCACAAGAAAACAATGGAAAAATTCTGTTACCACATCAGTTTGCTAGATTTGTAACCGCATTACGAAAACTTTATATTGAACACGATCTGAAATCGAAAACGGCGGCAGCACAACCTGTCATTAACAGTAGTAGTAAATTTCGGACGAGAAACTCTTCTCGCATACCAAGAAGAAGCTCACTATGTAAAATACAACAATAGACTTCGAACAACATGATCATTTTAGAATTCTACAAACTTCTACTCGGTTGAGGTGACCTTTTTTTATTAATCCTATTTCACCATAGAATATTTAGCACAATACGATTCTCAATAAGTGCTACTTTAGGATGTGTATGAATTTGTCGTCAGGCTGACCCCCACCCACTCACCCATCCATCTCACACGATCAAATCGGTCGAAATGAGACCTGCCTACCACTTAACAGTGTAAAGACGAGTTCGTTCTTCTAGTCGCAACATTTACTTTTCAGTAATCGACTAAATGACAAATAAATAATACTAAAGTACTAAGTATGCTTGAGTACAACAACGAAAGGGCTGCAAAGTTTATAGAACCAACGTCCCAGTCAAAAGAATAATGGAGAAATGGGTGTGGGTGTGGGTGAATTTGGGTGTGTAGGTGTGGGTGTGGATGGGGCATGTTTGTGAATGTGGATGTGAGTAAAGAGAAATAATTGGCTCACACCCACACTAAAACTATTCTCTTGTACCTTTTGTGTTTTTAAAGCAGACTTAACGGTCGGTTTGCTCATTTTTTAGGGTTGATCTGTCTATGTATCAAATCAGTTGTGCTCATATCAAAATATCTTATAGTTTGTGTCAACGATAGTACCTGCGTAAGTAAAAGTACCACATTTAGTCAAAACTTTGATTGAAATTTGATTTATTGTCAACAGCTCTGCCTAAAACTACTGAACAATTTCATACGTTAGATGTTATATATTACTTTCAATTTATTTAATTCTAGGAAACAAACGACATGAACATGTAAAACTATTATATTCTAAAGTTCAAATATTTTGCATAGAAAACAATCCTAATCATTATTTAGTTTTATTTTCTTGTAATCTATATCAAATCATGTCTAATAACATATATTATATATATATATCATCAAAGAAATGAAAAGAGACGAAATAAACCAAGAGAACCAGAACGACAGAAATACAAAAGATGAGTATTCACACTTAATATAGATGTTGGATAATGACGTACACGAAAGACAATCGATAACAAATTCTTCTATTAAATTATGGCTTGTATTTATTTGAGCAATAATTGAAACATGATTTAGCAGTAACTTTTGAGCAACAAGAAAACTTTATTTGAGCAATTTTATAATATTAAATGAACAATAAATAGTTTATTAGATAACAATATTAATTTCATATTTGAGCAAGAAAAGAGAAAAACTACATTATTTTTATTTACAATTGACAAGAAACAAAAAGAAAAAGAAAATAAATATAACTGATCATTGTACTAATAAAGCTTTTTTTGCTTTCGATGGTCTGCCTCTTTTTCTTTTTGTACCAATTTCCACATTATTTGCCTCAGGTGGAAGTATGCAATATTTTAATCTAATGGGCATACCAATGATGTGCTTGCATATATAATTTTTCATGAATGATGAACAGGTGCAGGTTGCTTCTTCCCATTTTTCAGCATTGTTAGATAAACATACGCACCATATATTGAAGTAGACGGGCTTGTACGTGTCAAACGAGTTAAATCTACAAGTTTCATATCGTTTTATTTCTGTATCTGTTATTGTAATTTTTTCACCAGCAGGCAAATAATACATCGCTGTATCACCATTGAAAATAGATATAACTTCTTTATTAAGCTTAGCCCAATTGTATGCATCAGTCCAATATGATAATGCTATTAATGGTTGATGTTCGAATTTTTTTGAATTGATTAGAGTACGATTTCGTTCTTTTACCATTTATTGACTATAGAAAATAAGACAACTGCAAATCTTGATAATACTAATCGTTTCCTTAATGTATCTTCATCTTTAATTACACGATTTTGTTGCTTCTAAAGCATTATTTGTGCTGGGAACATCATCATCGTCAGGTATAAATGAATTTTGTTGACACCAAGCTTCGAATTCATCTAAGCTAATAGTTGAAATACCATAATATTTTTCTCTTAGTGATGTCAAATAATTCGATAATTGTTACTTTTCGGGAACAGAAAAACCTTTCTCTTCTAATATTTCTATTATGTGTTTTGGCTTGATTTTCATTTTTGAATAACTCGCATATCACATCTTTTGATTGTTGGTTTATACCAATAGATCTTAGTTCTTGATATAAATGATCATCTTCTGTTTTGTACATTGTAACACATTCATTTTCACCATGGTATAAAAGATGAATACTAGCTGGACATTGTTTCCCACGCCTTTTTACTTGATTACATCTATAACAAACTCGTCTCCCGTCGCTCGTGATATTGCTATATATTTTGCTCCATTTACCATCATTCTTGATTTTATAAATAGCATCATCTTTATTATTGTATGTGCATGATGGAACCCATTTTCGCATGTTTTTCTTTTTTCTTTAAACTGTTGCAGTGTTACTAGAAGGTTGAGTTTGCATATCAATGTCATTTTCAGAATCAGAAATATAGTGTGCTACATGTTGCGATTGAGTCATTTGTATAAATTACATATAGTATTTCATGAAGGTGAGAAAATACTTATTGTTGTAAATAAACGAATTATTTTTGCCCTTTTTATATACATTTTATGTTTAAATTTATATTAATTATTGCTCATTCAGTATAATTATTGCTCACTCATTACATATATTTCTCATTCAATATATTTATTGCTACATTTGATTATTGCTCATTTCAACTATTTTATTGCTCAATTAAATATAAGTCATTAATTATTTCAAAATTTCTATTGGGAGGCAAGCGACAAAAGATTTCAAAAATAATCCTTTGGAGGTCATTCACCAAAAAAATCAGATCGATTTTCACAACAGCGCATCAAGATGAATATAGGTACTTTAGGCATCATTACGATCGTGTATGATATAATTCATAATTGTAGTTTATTGAACATCCAATAAAATACGAAAAGATAGTCACGATAACAGCAACTGAAGCATGTGAACCTGTAATTAATCAAAAAATAAAATTCATATATGTTATTGTATAGTTGTTATTTCTGAGTCCGACCCATCTGTATGTAAAGGCGCAAAACACATAAACGAATATCAATTTTATTTCTTGTTCCAGTAGACCAAGTAAATATGAATATCTCTCTTGACCATATGCTGGTAAATTGTTATGGAATATAATGGAGTAAGATAAACGAATAAAAGACTCAGTATCAACCAAGAATAACATCAAAAAAGTTGGAAGAAAAATCATCGTCAAAAGATAATATTCAAGAACTGATTTATGTTCGAAATGAAGCAATAGCCAAAGTTTTATGTTAGGAATGCACGACATGTGTTAATGATAAATCGATGACGACTCGTCTATTGCAGGCACAGAAGTTTCATTGATTGATACCATTGATAAATATAATGCACCTTTGGCTATGAACAATTCATATGATCTAGAAAGAAATTAAAACACTGCATATCCAATTGTCTCGCTATATATACTGAAATAAAAAAAAAACGTATAGGAGATATGTGAACATAGTGGTTCGTCCACGAAAGTAAGAAACCTTCTTTGGCGTCTGATTATTGAGAAACACATCGTAATAAGACATTTCATGTGTCAACCGATAACCAATTTTAGACACGAGCGTCCAAGATGAGATCGATTTACTTCGAACTTTTTATAAACTAGACTGCTTTTGCTTAATACTAAAAACACACAAACCAACTCCAACTTTGATTCAGCGTTGTTTGGATTACTTTTATTAATATGTGAAACGTTTAGAGAAAAGAAATCGAAAGGAACACTAAGCATTTACATTAGAGTAGAGTCTTGTGTTCAACGACTAGTTCTTGCTCAACATATCTCAATGTCAAGTTAATAGCTACTTTATTGATTTGAACTATTTATGCAATAAAAATTGGCGTTCAATAATGAATTCCAAACCACGTCCATATTGATGATATTAATGTTATCTACAAAGAAGAAAAAAAAACATTCAAAATACAATATAAGACTATAAAACAAATTTAATGCTTCATACTTCATACATACTATACACTTATTAAGACTAGGTTAGCAGAAAAATAATCTTGAGACTAATATATGAGGATGTAAAAAGAAAGAAATGGCTAATGAAGGAAACAACCAAATGGACATTTCTAGAAAGCGAGTTTTATTACTCTATTGTCAACGTTCTTTTTAACTAATAGTTGAAACGACATTTACAATAGTTTATGACCAAGTAATCAATTGAAATCTACATAGATAATCAGAATAACAGCGAGCATTTTATGTAAAGTATCACCGTCAATTGACACTCACCTTTTGTACGTTAAAATTTCGGCTAGCATAAATGCTTCCCTTGTTGAATGCATAATCACAACTTTGATCATCGAATATTGTCACAGTAAGAGTGTGGGCGTGTGGATGTAAGGTGTGGATAAAGTGAACATCAACATCCATACTCACATTCACCTTCACAACCAAACCCAAAACCACATCGTTGCTTTACTCCAATTCAATGTTAAACATGTATCAAGTGCATCGAGTACATCATTCGGAAGATCATCATCTTCACTAGGGATGTGAGTGTGGGCGTAAATGTCGATGTAAGCGAATATAGTTATCGATGTACAGAAAGTCCTGACTCAGACCCACATTCACACTGACACTCACACCCACATCCACATCCACACTCACACCCACATCCACATCCACACTCACACCCACATCCACATCCACACCCACACCCACACCCACACCCACACCCACACCCACACCCACACCCACACTCACACCCACACCCACACCCACATCCACACCCACACCCACACCCACACCCGCTTCAATGGAATTTCTTTTTCACAATTGATCAAAAGAACTGAAATCATATAAATAAAAAGAGCAAAGCACAAGCTACATTTTGATAATCAAAACCTTCTAGAAGTAAAATATCTATGTAGTGAATGAGTGTTTTTTCTTTCTAAATATTATATTCGAAAGAGGGTTAAAACGCTCTTTTGAATATGATACTTAGAAAGAAAAACCTCTCATTATATAAAAATGATAAAGAGTTTACATGAACATTATCAGTTGTCTGTCGTAAAACAAGCATTTCACTACATATATATTTTACTTCTAGAAAATGTTCATTATGAAAATGTAGCTTGCGTTTTTCTCTTTCTGTGTATATGATTTCAGTTCTTTTGATCAATTGTGAAAAAGAAATTCCATTGAAAAGATCGTTCGAAAAAACATATCTAACAGAAAATGACTATCGCTTATTGTTATATGTTCAGTTCCACAATGACTCAATATTTAAGGGTTAAATTTTCTGTAGATATAGTACAGATGCTACAGGTTATTTTTGCGTAAGCTTCGTCTCAAAAGCTAACATTGTAAGATAATTATACGCGAAACAATTCATTTGAAAACTTATGCCCAGTATTGTATACAGTTATGTTAAAATGTGTCATTTACATATATTCAAATACGTGTCATTTACATATATTCAAATATGTGGCATGTGTATTTATATTGAAATATGTGACATATATGTATGTATGAAAAAAATATACAGGATAGACCAAATGTAAGTAAACAAATTTTTCTGTTGATTTTACTCTATACGTGAATAATGGAGTCTCTAATTTATTCTAGAGATACTAGGTAGTGCTAGTCAGACGCGTAGGATTTTATCGGTCGCTGGGATCAATAGCTTGTTTGAGAAGTGCAGGATGCATCGTTATACTCTTTTATCGCTCGAGAAACTCGTCTTGTCTTAACGAATTTTATTTTCGCTTTTGTTCTTATTAGATCAATTTGTAGAATAAATCCAATTGCTTTTTTAAGATTTCTTTAAAATAAAACTGCAAATCATAGTGCAAAGATGGTTTATCCGATGAATCGATATAGTCAGATGAAAAGTGGTGATCAAATTCGACCAGAAAGCGATAATTTCTATTGCAGTCACATAAGAGTACACGAGAGGCATCGATGTGATTTGAAAACAAACTATTGAGGCTGGAGACTGAAAATGCGGTATACTTGTGACAACCAGTATCTATATTCTATATGCTGCATAAATCAAGAATTTTATTATTCATGAAGACAGATAAAATTAAAAAAATTGTTGCCTCATTTTTTTTCTCTCAGTATATTTTCTTGATATAAATATAAATATATATACATGTATATAGGTGACAGACGATTTCGGAGTATACGAGAGAATAAAATAGCATTTTTAACTTTCTGGTGAGAAATATCGTTGATGTGTAAAAATCAAAACATCGTTTATACAGTGAGTAGTTATCGTTTTTTATTTTTCTGCAATGTGTTTAAATTTTCATTATTATTCTTTTCTGGTAATGGCAAGATGGAAAAAAACATGATTCATAAAGTTTCAACAATTACTAGATATAGAAGTTTCTGAAGCTATTAATGACAAAATATCTTCATTTGATATTCTCATCCCCCCAGCCAAAATAAACGAAGCACCTTATTTTTCCGGTCATTTCTCCCAATTATTGTTGTTTGGTCTCATATTTATATCACAGATACATACTCGATTACTCAACTTAATCTGAAAGTTTCAGTCCTATAAAGTGAGAATTGACGGAAAAATCTATCAATGTATCTTAAGTACTCATGTGACACTGAAACCAAAATTTCATATTTTATTGATTTCTCTATTGTTTCATATTTAATTTCGAATTTCGGGTGGTAACTAGTTCTCCCTTAGACACGACTTTCTAACGAGACATCTTAAGATGTCTCTTTGGAAAGTCATGCCTAAGAGAAAACTATTTTCCA